TGCGCCACCGCTACAATTTTTGTTGTTGAACTCTTTACATTTTGGTCCTGTTCATCTCCCCTATAATCTCTGCTCAGATCTCGTGGCTGAAGTACCCCCAAGCCAAAAATAGTTCGACCCCAACGGAGGGATGGCGGCACGGTCGAATCTGACGGCTGGGCGAACTGCCTGTACGGATAACTCGGTAGTATAGCAGTCCCGCTGTCACAGGGATAGTTTCGGAGGGGAATTTATGCTCTCCTCGTCCTCAACATTTTCTTAATGTTTTTCAGGTGATTCAATTGCTGGCTAATTAATATTAAGGAATGAAACCCAGACGGTGTGATGGAGGATTAAATTCCCCATTAATCGATCCTTGTTGCATCCCTTAATCTCTGCAACAAAAAAATACAACTACGACAAAAGTCATGGGCCAGTGAGAAACATAATTTTCTTCTCGGCGCACAGTGACTTTTCACCATTCGCCCGCGAATTAAAAATTTGTCTTTCCCCTCCTAATTGAAATTAAGGGATGAAAAAAAGGCTGTTTGGCGGAGAAATAAATTACCCATCAATTAACACTCTTTCATCTCTTAATCTTTGTAAAAAATGGAAGAAACTGTCATGAAAATCACAGCGCAGTAAGAACAATAATTGTTTTGCGGCACACAGTCACTCCCGGTAATTAAAAATTCACTTCTCCCCTCCTAATTGAAATTAAGGGATGAAAAAAAGGCTGTTTGGCGGAGAAATAAATTACCCATCAATTAACACTCTTTCATCTCTTAATCTCAATTAGGAGAAGAGAGGTGAATTTTTAATTACCGGGAGTGACTGTGTGCCGCAAAACAATTATTTTTCTTACTGCGCTGTGATTTCCCTGACAGTTTCTTCCATTTTTTACAGAGATTAAGGGATGAAAGAGGGTTAGGTGATGGGGAATTTAATTCTCCGTCGTACTGCCATTTTTCCATCCCTTAATCTCAATTAGGAGGGGAGAAGTGAATTTTTAATTCGCGGGCGAATGGTGAAAAGTCAGTGTGCGCCGCGAAAAAATTATTTTTCTTACTGGCCCCTGACTTTCATGGCAGTTTTTATTTTTTTGTTACAGAGATTAAGGGATAAAAGAGGGTTAATTAATGGAGAATTTAATTCTCCGTCGAACTGCCCTTTTTTCATCCCTTAATCTCAATTAGGACGGCAGAGGTGAATTTTTAATTATCGGGAGTCTCTGTGCGCCGCAAAACAATTATTTTTCTTTCTGCGCTGATATTTCCATGACAGTTTCTTCCATTTTTCACAGAGATTAAGGGATAAAAGAGGGTCAGTTGGTGGGGAATTTAATTCTCCATCGAACTACTCTTTTTTCATTCCTTAATCTCAATTAGGAGGAGAGAAGTGAATTTTTAATTCGCGAGCGAATGGTTTAAAGTCACTGTGCGCCGAGAAGAAAATTAATTTCCTCACTGGCCCATGACTTTGTCGTAGTTTGTATTTTTTTGTTACAGAGATTAAGGGATGCAACGGGGATCGATTGATGGGGAATTTAATTCTCCATCGAACTACTCTTTTTTCATTCCTTAATCTCAATTAGGAGGAGAGAAGTGAATTTTTAATTCGCGAGCGAATGGTTTAAAGTCACTGTGCGCCGAGAAGAAAATTAATTTCCTCACTGGCCCATGACTTTGTCGTAGTTTGTATTTTTTTGTTACAGAGATTAAGGGATGCAACGGGGATCGATTGATGGGGAATTTAATTCTTCATCACACCGTCTGGGTTTCATTCCTTAATATTAATTAGCCAGCAAATGAATCGCCTGAAAAACATTAAGAACATGTTGATGACGAGGAGAGCATAAATTCCCCTTCGAAACTATCACTGACAGCGGGAGTGCTAGACTGCTACTGCGTACTGCCGAGTTACCCGCAGAGGCAGTTCGCCCGGCCGTCAGATTCGACCGTGGCGCCATCCCTCTGTTGGGGTCGAACTATTTTTGGCTTGGGGTCACTTCAACCCCGAGATCTGAGCCTCTACTTTAGTCAATCCTCTTTGGGGCAAGCCGTGATGAGTATCCCAACGACGTTGAGGGAAACCTTCCGGTTTTAAATGCCGACTGACCCCGGAATTATGCCCTCAATATGAAAATCAATTTTTCCTCCCCTAATTGAGATGGAGAGAAGGGACGAACGCCAACAATTGGGAATTGGATTCTTAATGAATTGACACCGGTCCCATTTCTAAACCTGAATTAGAAGAGGAGAAATACATTTTCGAAGCATGGAGTGACTGCGGATAAGTTCTTTCCATTAAAAAATAGATTTCTGCCCCCCCCCCCCTAATTGAGATGAAGGGATGAAACCGATGCCGATCGATCAAGAATTAAATTCTCAATAAATGAAATAGGTTTCATTCCTTAATCTCAATAAGGAGAAAAGGAATGAATTTTTAAAAGCGTGGAGTAACCCCGAATGGTTCTCCGGCGTCGAGAGAGCCTGTTGGGGCTCCCCCGATTGGCAAATTCATTTCTCCCCCCCTAATTGAGATGAAGGCATGAAACCAACGCCTGTCGATCGAGAATTATATTTTCAATAAATGTCATCGGTTTCATTTCTTAATCTCAATTAGGGGGTGAGAAATCAATTTTCCAATCGGGGAGCCCCTGCGGACTCACTCGACGTCGGAGAACCGTTCGGGGTTACTCCGCGCTTTTAAAAATTCATTCCTCCGCTCCTTATTGAGATTAAGGAATGAAACCGGTGTCATTTATTGAGAATTTAATTTTTGATCGATCGGCGTCGATTTCATTCCTTCATCTCAATTAGGGGGGGAGAAATGAATTTTTTAATGGGGAGAACTTGTCCGCACTCACTCCGTGCTTCGAAAATGTATTTCTCCTCTTCTAATTGAGGTTTAAAAATGGAACCGGTATCAATTCATTGAGAATTCAATTCTCAATCGATTGGCGTTCGTCCCTTCTCTCCATCTCAATTAGGGGAGGAAAAATTGATTTTCATATTAAGGGCATAATTCCGGTGTCAGTCGGCGTTTAAAACCGGAAGGTTTCCCTCAACGTCGTTAGGATACCATCACGCTTGCCCAGCCCTCCGATTCCCCCCACATACATGCTTTCCGCTACTCAACACCGTTATCGACGCTCTCATACGCTCCCTATTTTACTCACAGGTACGTATTGAACGTCTTGTACGCTCCCTGCCTTACTCACAGGAACGTACTCTGCATTAGTTCATGCGCCACCGCTATGTAATTATGCGGTTGAAACTTCTACATAAGGTCTGGCAATCTCCTCTATAATCTCTGACTGAACAATTGTTGAGAAAGTCGAAATTTGATTTTTGAGAATGTAGTCTAAAATGTGAGAAGAGAAAAACGAACAGTTGGGATTCGTCAAGATGATTACAGTGGTTTTGGGGGTGACCCCCGCGACCGCCTCTTTGCTAGTGACATATCAATAGAAGCGCCAAAATTCAAATATACTCATGGTCCATACGGTGTGCAACGGAACGCTGTCAAAATATCTATATGTCAACTGTGGACAGCTTTGAAAACAAGCATATTTCGTCATATTAAAGTTTCAGAAAGCTCCTTTTTCATAATTAAACATTTCTATCACTATGGTTGGTACAAATTGATAATAGTCTCATAACCGTTCATATCCCATTGAATATGGGACATTCAGTTGTACGCTTCAATAATTTGTTTACTGAAATGGTGTTCTACAAATTTGTCTTCTCACAAAATTTGAAATTGTAAAAGAATAAAAAATTACACATAAGTGGATAAAACAATTTTCCTTCAGTGAGAATGTACATTAATATCAATTTTCGAATAATACGTATGTGATTCCGAGTATTCCACCAAAAAGTGAGATTATATTTCCTTTTATTCGTGAATCGACTGCATGGTATCAAATTATATCCTGCAACTCTCTTTGTCATGCTTCAGCCAAATGCAACTGTTCCTACCTGGATGGTTTTTTGGAAGTATGATACGTGGAAGTATTATACTCACTAAAAATAATTGCTTATAATTCTATTCATTTCCAAGATAATCAGCAGTCAATTTTCGAAAAAGGAGAATTTACTTTCAATTTTATCGGAATAGATACCAACTTCAAATCAGTGAGACATTGATAGTCGTGCTATCGCAGTTAAGTGAAAATGTTCTTGCTGCTAATTTAATTAATTTACGATACTCTACAGGTCGACAAAAAGAGTTATACATGGTATAAGCAATACAACACCTGAACTCTTCATGATTTTATAATTCTATCGTATCATTATGATAATTGTTCCATCCATCAGAGTTTATACCTTGGACATACTGTGCAAGTATAAATTTCGAATCGAAGAAACTTCATTTAGTCCGAAAAATGTCGGTCTTTAAAAATGTCGGTATATTACCGTCAATATGATATTGCCGGAAGATACCTTAGGAGTTTTCGTTTCAGTGTATCGCAGAGATGGCGTCACTTGTTCTGATTCTCTTGGTACCCCGCGGGAAAAGCGGCGTCCCGATCGAATTGTCGGTAAATGAGTCGGGTGAGTGAGTAACTCGGCAGTATACTGGCGACAATATGAGAGTGATCTTTCCATCTAACCCCTACTTCCCCCACCACCGACGCGCGCATGCGCGGTGGGACGGTGGTGTATCCCTCCGCGTACGGCGTGTTCAAAATACATGAAAAATAATTTCCTGTTTTGTTTTTTTCGTTTTTGATGAAAAAACAATGAATTGATAACAAAATTATGAGGAAATACGTGAAAATTAATACTTAATAAATTAATAATAGTAATTGACTTGTCTAATTCTCCAACAGTTGACCAAAAGTTTCAAAAATTCCAGAAAAGTCCACATTGATGTACAATATTTGAGAACTATAAATAAAAAATCATTAAATCTTCGAAAAATCTTCTCAAATATTCCTAATTTCTCTAAAAATTGTAAATCGACGTGAAAATTATCTATACCTACATTTAAATAAAATTATTTCTGGTGATTCATTATGAAATGATTGAATAATAAGTTTATTACATGCTACACACCGACAGAAACCACGCAAAGCTGCGTTTTCGAATTTTTTTGAAAATGACAATAATGACTATCAGACACAAGGCTCGAAAATTGGAATGGAAGAACAAAGGGGATAGAAAAAACTATAAACTAGGTGAAAAATAATTTGTACATTTCGTTTCAACGTTTCATATCAAATAACAGAAAGATCAAATTCATTTTCAATGATCCTCCAAAAAACAAATTTTATATTTATACGTCGATTTTATCACACTTTTTTCGTATTTTACATTAACTTGAAATAACAATAATTTATATGCTTTTTAGAAAATTACAATAACTTCACTTGTACTTATATAAATTACAATTCATTAAATCTTATCCATAGTACTTAATTATCAAAATATACAAACATTACTCCAGTAGGGAACCGACAAAATAAGCTCTATAGGTTCGAATGAATTACAGAAGAAAGTCAAACTAAAATCTAATCTACAAGCTGTACACGAATAGGTTTAAGGTATTCCATTTGAAATTTCTTTTGCCTGGTGCTCGAGAAAGCTGAAAGAATTTGAAAAAATCAAACATTAATAAACTGTTAAAAACAACAATATGAGGAAAAGTAAGAGCATGATTGAAAAAATGAAAACTTAACTTAAGACAGGATTTCTTCCATTCCATTTCCGACGCAGTCGTTCGAGTCGTATGGCTGAAATCAATTTTTGACAAAATTAGCTGATTAGAAAAATTCTGTTTATTGTCGATTTATCAAGACTAGGAATAAAATGGAAACCACAACTTAACTTTTTAATGATTCTACTTCGTTCGTTCTCAAGATCAGCCAATTTCGTGCTAACGGTTGGAGTGCCAGATAGTCACTTGGAGAACTCAGTGATCTGTAGAACAGAAATTAAATATAAATAGTGGTGGTGAAACAATTGAATAGAAAATTTATCGTTACCTTAATGGAGTATATCTGCCAAGCTCCACGATTACCTCCACGACGATCAACTACCAACAGTCGAGCTAGGGCATCTGTCGACAAGCATCGAAACAGACGAGCAACACCTCTGCTTCGACTACTCAGGGGATGACAATTGCTGTTGTCAACCGAGTGTGGATTGAACATGTAATATACACGTCGTAATGATTCCGAGATCACTGGAGAGATGAGGAATGCAACGGTTTTGGAGTCAGCTATATACAAAAATCCTGTATGCTCCAAGGATGATGCATGTAGATCTCCCATCGAGTTGATCGCTACTGTGATGTCCTTCACAGCAGTTCCCGATGAAAACAGCCCATAAGTTTCCGACCGAGGCTCGATTGTAACCGAATGACCACAAGCGATGATCGACGTGAGAAGATCCTCTGGAGACAAGTGGGTATATCCTGGGTCCTTGTGAGATACACTATCAGCGTAATATTTGTCACCATCTACCAACACTCTGTCAAGAAGATCTCGAGTGACCTTCCCATCGGAGAGGAGCAATGCAACGATGCTGCAGATGGAATTGGCAGTGCATTGGCAATTTGCTCTTTCTGGTGGGAAGCGCTTATCTCCCTGATGGAACCTCGCCGATTCATGGAGGAGAACGCGATCGATTTTAGTGGAAATCTCGATCACTTTGTCCTTCCTCATCCAGAATGAACGGTGATCTTGTATCTGGAAACGTTAGGGGAATAGTTATGATTAATATTTCGTTTACGAGAAGCTCAAGAGAAACTGAAACCAATGCCAACTGTACCAATGTTGATTCAGGTTCTGTAATTGGCTGTTCTAAATGTTGAGATTCTCCACACGATGGCATCGGTGAAGTACAAGACAACTCAGACGAAACAATTTCCTCCATCATCCTGCGTCTGATGTGCGGCATATCGTTTGCTGTGAACAAGAAGCTGGCATGCCTCGTCAGATATTCAGCATACACGCAAACGAATACTCCACAGTCATTATCATTGTTTTGATGAGGAATATCCTGTGGAAATGAAAGAAAGAAAATAATTGATCACACGTTAACGAAGTTGGCATATAACAAAACATACATTGACTTGTTCAGTGGTCCATCTCGCAGAATCCAATGATTGACCTTTTCTGTGCCGATGCTCATTGTCGAGATAGGAGAGAATTGTGTCCATAACTTGCGTGTGCTGTTAATTTGAGAACGAAAAAGGTAACTAGAGCGGAATCAACATTGCCATATTTCGATTATGACGCAGAACTTCATCAGATTTTGATTAAAATAGTTAACAGATTCTTGGATACTCACGTTTGTGGAAGTCTGAGCGAGACTGTCATACAATTGAATGGACTTCTCTTTGACATAGACCACACACAGNGCCATCCATCACGCCCCGTTTCATGCCTTAATCTCTGCAATAAAAAAATTAATATTGCGACGAATGTCACGGCGCTATAAGAAACCCAATGTTTCCTCGGCGCAGAGTGACTCCCCATTAATTCGCCCGCTAATTAATAAATCGTCTGTCCCCTCCTAATTAACATTAAGGAATGAAACAAAGACTGTTCAGTGGAGAATTAAATTCGCCATCCATCACGCCCCGTTTCATGCCTTAATCTCTGCAATAAAAAAATTAATATTGCGACGAATGTCACGGCGCTATAAGAAACCCAATGTTTCCTCGGCGCAGAGTGACTCCCCATTAATTCGCCCGCTAATTAATAAATCGTCTGTCCCCTCCTAATTAACATTAAGGAATGAAACCAATGCTGTTCGATGGAGAATTAAATATTCCCCATCCTTCAACCCCCATTTCATTCCTTAATCTCTGTAATGAAAAAAGAAAAACTGCGATGAAAGTCACGGCGCTAGGAAAATTCAACAGCATTGGTATCATTCCTTCATGTTAATTAGGAGCGGGGATATGATTTTTTAACTAGCGGGCGACTTGTCGGGAGTCACTGCGCCGAGAAACCACTAGGTTTTTCATCGCGCCGCGAATTTCGTCGCAGTTATAATTTTTTCATCAGAGAGATTAAGGGATGAAACGGGGGTTGTTGGGTGGAGAATTTAATTCTCCATCGAACAGCATTGGTTTCATTCCTTAATGTTAATTAGGAGGAGAGAGACGATTTTTCAATTAGCGGGCGAATTAATGGGGAGTCACTCTACGGCGAAAAAACATTGAGTTTTTCATAGCGCCGCGAATTTCGTCGCAGTTTTTATTTTTTCATTACAGAGATGAAGGGATGAAACGGGGGTTGATGGATGGAGAATTTAATTCTCCATCGAACAGCATTGGTTTCATTCCTTAATATTAATTAGGAGGAAAGAGACGATTTTTTAATTAGGGGGCGAATTAATGAGGAAGCTCCCTGCGCCGAGAAACCATTCAGTTTTTGATAGCGCCGCGACTTTCGTCGCAGTTTTTATTTCCTCATTACAGAGATTAAGGGATGAAACGGGGGTTGAAGGATGGGGAATTTAATTCTCCATCGAACAGCATTGGTATCATTCCTCAATGTTAATTAGGAGCAGATATACGGTTTTTTCATTAGCGGGCGAGTTGTCGGGAGTCACTGCGCCGAGAAAACATTGGGTTTCTTATAGCGCCGTGACTTTCGTCGCAATATTAATTTTTTTATTGCAGAGATTAAGGGATGAAACGGGGCTTGATGGATGGGGAATTTAATTATCCAGTCTTTGTTTCATCCCTTAATATTAATTAGTCGGCGAATAAATCAACTGAAAAACATAAAGTAAACATTGAGTACAGGGAGGACAAAAGTGCCCCTCCGTATTTGTCCCTGTGACAGCGGCACTGCTACTGCCGAGTTACTCACGCCTCAAGCACCCGTCTCACATTTACCGACAATNTATTCCTCAATCTCAATTAGGAGCGGAGGAATGAATTTTCAAAGCGCGCAGTAACTTCGGACAAGTTCTTCTTATTCAAAAATTTATTTCTTTCCTTCTTAATTGAGATGAACCAATCGAGAATCATATTTTCGATGAATGAATGAAGCCCGGAAGGGCTCTCCCCATTGGAAAACTCATTTCTCCCCCCGCAATTGAGATGAAGATATGAAACCAACGCGTATCGATGGANGCCCCTCCGTATTTGTCCCTGTGACAGCGGCACTGCTACTGCCGAGTTACTCACGCCTCAAGCACCCGTCTCACATTTACCGACAATTCGACCGGGACGCCGCCTTTCCCGACTAACCCCGGAATCATGCCCTCAATATCAAAATCTATTTTTCCTCCCCTAATTGAGGTGGAGAGAAGTTACGAAGGCCAATCGATTGAGAATTGAATTCTCAATGAATTGACACCAGTTCCATTTCTAAACCTAAATTAGAAAAGGAGAAATACATTTTTGAAGCACGAACTGATTGCGGTCAAGTTCTCCCCATTAAATATAATTCTCGATTGCTTCATCTTAATTAAGGAGGGGAGAAACGAATTTTTGAATGAGAAGAACTTGTCCGAAGTTACTCCGCGCTTTGAAAATTCATTCCTCCGCTCCTAATTGACATTAAGGAATGAAACCGGTGTCAATTATTGAAAATATAATTCTCCATCGATACGCGTTAGTTTCATGTCTTCATCTCAATTACGGGGGGAGAAATGAATTTTCCGATGGGGAGAGCCCTTCCGGGCTCACTCGACGCCGGACACCGTTCGGTGTTCCCCCGCGACTTGAAAATTCATTCTTTCGCTGCTCATTGAGATTACAGAATGAAGCGGCTATCATTCATTGAAAATATAATTCTCGATCGATAGGCGTTGCTTCATTGCTTAATCTCACTTGGGGAGGGGAGAAATTAATTTTTGAATCAGAAGAACTTGTCCGAAGTTGCTCCGCCCTTTGAAAATCCATTCCTCATTTCTCCCCCCGTAATTGAGATGAAGCCATGAAACCAACGCGTATCGATGGAGAATTATATTTTCAATAAATGACACCGGTTTCATTCCTTAATCTCAATTAGGAGCGGAGGAATGAATTTTCAAAGCACAGAGTAATTTCGGACAAGTTCTTCTCATTCAACAATTCATTTCTCGCCTCCCTAATTCAGATGAACCAATCGAGAATTATATTTTCGATGAATGAGAGCCGCCTCATTGTGTAATCTCAATGAGGAGCACAAGAATGAATTTTCACGGCGCGGGGGAACACCGAACGGTCTCCGGCGTCGAGTACGCCTGGAGGGCCCCCCCCCATTGGAAAATTGATTTCTCCCCCCCTAATTGGGATGAAGACATGAAACCAACGCGTATCGATGGAGAATTATATTTGCAATAAATAACACTGATTTCATTCCTTAATCTCAATTAGGAGCGCAGGAATGAATTTTCAAAGCGCGCAGTAACTTCGGGCAAGTTCTTCTTATTCAAAAATTTATTTCTCTCCTTCTTAATTGAGATGAACCAATCGAGAATCATATTTTCGATGAATGAATGAAGCCCGGAAGGGCTCTCCCCATTGGAAAACTCATTTTTCGCCCCGCAATTGAGATGAAGATATTAAACCAACGCGTATCGATGGAGAATTATATTTTCAATAATTGGCACCGGTTTCATTTCTTAATGTCAATTAGGAGCGGAGGAATGAATTTTCANTAATTAAGGAGGGGAGAAACGAATTTTTGAATGAGAAGAACTTGTCCGAAGTTACTCCGCGCTTTGAAAATTCATTCCTCNTTCAAAGCGCGGAGTAACTTCGGACAAGTTCTTCTCATTCAAAAATTCATTTCTCCCCTCCCCAAGTAAGATTAAGCAATGAAACCAACGCCTATCGATCGATAATTATTATTTTTTTTCTATTTCATTGGTTTTATCGAAGTAGTTCTCAATTTGAAACCCCTCCTCTAACCTGCCTCCCCTTTTTTACTTTTCCTCGATCGATAATTATATTTTCAATAAATGACAGCGCTTTNGCTTGTCCGAAGTTGCTCCGCCCTTTGAAAATCCATTCCTCATTTCTCCCCCCGTAATTGAGATGAAGCCATGAAACCAACGCGTATCGATGGAGAATTATATTTTCAATAAATGACACCGGTTTCATTCCTTAATCTCAATTAGGAGCGGAGGAATGAATTTTCAAAGCACAGAGTAATATCGGACAAGTTTTTCTCATTCAACAATTCATTTCTCGCCTCCCTAATTCAGATGAACCAATCGAGAATTATATTTTCGATGAATGAGAGCCGCCTCATTGTGTAGTCTCAATGAGGAGCACAAGAATGAATTTTCACGGCGCGGGGGAACACCGAACGGTCTCCGGCGTCGAGTACGCCTGGAAGGGCCCCCCCCCATTGGAAAATTGATTTCTCCCCCCCTGATTGGGATGAAGACATGAAACCAACGCGTATCGATGGAGAATTATATTTGCAATAAATGACACCGATTTCATTCCTTAATGTCAATTAGGAGCGGAGGCATGAATTTTCAAAGCGCGCAGTAACTTCGGACAAGTTCTTCTTATTCAAAAATTTATTTCTTTCCTTCTTAATTGAGATGAACCAATCGAGAATCATATTTTCGATGAATGAATGAAGCCCGGAAGGGCTCTCCCCATTGGAAAACTCATTTTTCGCCCCGCAATTGAGATGAAGATATTAAACCAACGCGTATCGATGGAGAATTATATTTTCAATAATTGGCACCGGTTTCATTTCTTAATGTCAATTAGGAGCGGAGGAATGAATTTTCAAAGCGCGGAGTAACTTCGGACAAGTTCTTCTCATTCAAAAATTCATTTCTCCCCTCCCCAAGTAAGATTAAGCAATGAAACCAACGCCTATCGATCGATAATTATTATTTTTTTTCTATTTCATTGGTTTTATCGAAGTAGTTCTCAATTTGAAACCCCTCCTCTAACCTGCCTCCCCTCCTTTACTTTTCCTCGATCGATAATTATATTTTCAATAAATGACAGCGCTTTCATTCCTTAATCTCATGAAGGAGCGGAGGAATGAATTTTCAACGCTCGGGAGGATCCTGAACGGTTCTCCAGCGTCCACTGATTCCGGTGGGGCTCCCCCCATTGGAAAATTCCTTTTCGTTTTACGGGACATGAAAAACCCCATTTTTGTGGCGCTGGGCGCCACGACATTAGCGTTTTTCAGGTCCCTCCGCACGTAAATTAATATACACACCTCGTCATTTGGCTCGGAAGGCAATCTTGCACGTGGGGGACCAAAGAGGATTGACTATAATGTACAATTTTTTTCTTTCGGCATATGTGGCGGTCACCAACTGAATTTACTTTTTACATACTAGTCCATAAGCGGGGGGGTGATTTGCATACATTTTGTATAAAAAAAAATTTTTCATTGGATTCTGTTTTTTGAGCTGCTGAATCCAAATATCGAGGTCTC